GTGGGTGGATGGGGAAAGATGGGATGTATTGATGAGTAGGTGGGTGGATGGGTGATGGGTGGATGGACTGGGTAGGTGGGAAGATGAGTTGGCTTGATGAGTGGGTGGGTAGGTGGGTGGGTAGAGGGTGATAAATCTGCTTTATGTTCAGAGATGTGATTTGAAACAGTCATTTTTCTGAAAGCTGTTTTCTTTTGGAAAGTACAGCATGGACAAAGTTTTAAAAACCACAAATAATTTTGTGGTTTATACAATGAGAACTTAATTAAAAAAAAAACAAAACCTGAAGATGCCCAGATGAGAGTGGAAGGACATACAGTGCTGGCCTGATGCTGCTCTAGGACCTGGCAGCCTACAGTCTTCCAGCAAGCTTTGGGATTGCAGGGTTATCAGTGTAGTAGCAGAGGAGGGCATCTCCTTATTTTAGAATGTGACAACAAAACGACAAAAAAAAAAAAAAAAAAAAAAAAACCACACACACACACACAAAAAAACCCAAACCCTCCAAATAACAAAAAAACAAAGTGCTTCAAGTTTTGCTTGGAGCTGTTATCCCTCTCTGACTAGACCCTGGGCCACTTGCATCTGAGCTAAAGTTTCTCCAGCACCCCACCTCTTTGTTCACAGCTCCAAGGTGCTGGTGGACAGGCTATGTGCCCTGCGTGGCGCCTTGATGCCAAGGGGAGCCTGGGCTCTAGGAGGCATTTGGGGATTGAGGGTGTGTGCATGTTGGATGGCACTGATTGCCCTGAGGAGACCTGCAGTTCTTCATGGGTCAGTGAAGTGGATAGAGGCCATCATTGTGTCTGTGGGTGTTCAGCCCATCTGTAGCAGTGCAGCCCACTTGTACCACCAACAAAATCAGCTCTTCCCATCAACTCTTGGTATGGCTTGGATATGATGCATCCCTGGAGTGGAGTGTTCTGGGTACTGTTGAATGACTGTGTCATGTGGACTCTGGCCACATTATCAAGTTAATCACTGATATTCTTTTTTGTTTTTAGTGTGGAATTGAATCTAGAGCATTATACATGCCGGGTTAGTGGTCTACTTCTGAGCTGCACCCCCAACTTACTGCCTTTCTTTGTCAGTATGTTTTAATGGGTTAAACATGCCTGTTTATTTTGCATGGTATTATAGAACCCCCCCTCCTCCTAAAGTCCACATGACTTCATGGAAAAGGAAAGATTGATGCAATCAGTGATTGACTTCGCTGTCTACACATCTTTCAGTCTGGTCTGGCCTTCATTAATCGTGATGGCTCATAGATGCCCTGGCAACAGGGCTTGGATGTTATGGGGACCAGATCAGCCCTAATAAGCACTAGCTTTCTAGGCTCAGGAAGCAGCAGGTACAGAGGCTTTGGGGAAGGACATGTCTACAGGCTGATGGCCCATATGGCTGAGACAGCGTAGGGAGGGAGCTGACCCTGGTAGAGGCAGACCATGCAGGCCTTACAAGTCCCTGGGCGGTGGGGGCTTTGTTTTCCCTCCAAGATGGAATCTGGGTTGGGGGTGGGCTGGAGGGCAGAGGGGACAAGGGGTGAGGACCAGGCCAGTTCAGTGGTCCAAGCTGGGTGTGATGGCAGACACTTCAAATCCTGGCACTGTTTGCTGAGGCAGGAGGATCCAGAGTTTAAGGTCTGCTTGGTCTCTGTAGGGAAATTCTGCCTCAAACCAGAACAAAATGGATATGCTCACTGAAGAGCATGTGATACTTGTTCCACACGGTCACATAGGACTTCTTTCTGTGCAGGTGCTGATCTCCGTGTTAGTAGATAAGATTCCATAGGTCAGTAAGGACCCTGGCCTGTCTGCACGTCCTGTAGCTTAAGCAGTAAACAACATGCGGCAAGGATGGCCTGTGGTGCACGGCCTCTGGTATGTGTTCTGTCAGCTCCGGACCTGTGTGAGCCCCAGACCCTGTATTCCTGGTGGGCTTCCTTATGGTGGGTTTCCTCCTGGTGCGGTTCTAGGAGGGCTGGTCACACTGAGGCCTATCACTTCTCACTAGTGTAATTCAATAGGACTTCATGGAGGCACTGGTGTTCAAATGAGACCAAGGCTTGCAGGGATTGGGGTGTGGGGGAGGGGGACCTGCTGTGGAGGCATGCTTCCCAGGCTGTGCTGCTCTGACAGGTCCAGCTCCGGGTAGGGATGCTAGTGTTTAATGGCTCATTGAGTTTGGCTCATTGAGTTTGCAAGTTGTAAAAACTTAGTTACCCTGTAACACTTTTATTTCAGTGGCTCCCTAATAAAACCCCCGGGTGATGAAATGGCATGACAGAGCAGGTGCTGAGTTTGAGAAACTTGTCTTCTGTTTCACCTTTAATCCAGGAGGAGAAAAGGAAGAAGGGATTGCTCCTGAGTGGTGTGTGGTAGTTCATCATGCATGATTAGAACAATGGCTGATAAGAAAATTGGCATTGAGACTTTTTAAAGCATGTAGGCCTTTGAAAATAGCCTGTCATTCCTGGTTTCGTATACCAGAAAGATGGTAGCTTGGGCTGCCAGGAGAGCAGGAATTCCCTGATGTGTTCAAGGGCATTCATTTGGCTGTCTTGCCCAGAGGAGCTGACCGTGTGCCAGTGTCTGTCCTTTAGTTAGAGCACCCGTGCTGACCTGGAATGTGTGCCAGATACTGGAGAGAGCCGGAAGCAGAACCAGCAGCTTGCTTGTGGCTAGGTCTGGTTTGGGATGTCAACTGTGTGGCAGCTCTAATACAGAGGCTCAAAGCCAATCCTGTGGTAGAAATCTTGGGCCAGTTTCAGGATTGCAGGAACAGCATTTTTGTATCTTTTCTGGCTCTGCCTCTCATGGTGGTACGGTTTCGGGAATTACGTGTGAGGATACTGATGTTTCTGTGGCCAGAAAAAGTGACTCTTGGCATGCTATCTGACAACATGTACCAGAGGTGAGCAGGGTGGCCTGCTACCTCTCACCATGGGCCAGGGCTGGGGACCCTGGTAGCTTGGCTCCCACTTCCCTGGCCTGACACAAGCAAGATGTCCTGGTCATCTCAGCCTCTAGTCAGGGCTGTTTCTATTCAACACGACTGTGAATGACTGTCCTGTCCTTGGTGGCCTGACCTCTCCATGTGCATATTCCTAGCAGTTCTTTCTTCCTTAAGACCTTGCAGAACAAGTTGGGCCTAGTGTTGTACACCTGCAGCCTCTGCAATTAGGAGGTGCAGGTAGGAGAATCAGGAGTTTATGGGTATCCTTGGCTACATGAGGTCCTGTCATAAAAATCCTAAAACTTGCAGAATAATCAAGGCAAGAAGTAAGGTGACAGTGTCATGGCAGGCAGAAGCCTCCCAGTCTGGTTCTCTCATGGCTGTCTCCTTTCCAATCTGGTTCTCTCATGGCTGTCTCCTTCCCAGCCTGGCTCTCTCATGGCTGTTTTCTTCCCAGCCTGGCTCCAGCATGGTGGTCTCCACTCCCTCTGCCTAGCCTCATGTGTAAGAGTCCTCACTATCAGTGTCCTGATGCCCAGGTGTCCTGGTGTCCCTACGCTGGGGTGTTCTCATGACAGAGTTCCTTCATACCATGCCAGTAAGTGGTATGGAGGCTGGCAGGAGGAGTCTGATGGGGAACCATGACACCTGATTTGCCTGGCTGATATCCAGCAGCAGCTTTGCCATATTATCCACTTGTACACTTGGCTGACTTTGAACTGTTCTGAGCACCAACCTTCAAGAGATATGGTGATTCCCACAGTCATAGACCTTTTGCAATATGGAGCTACAGGAGCCTCCTTCCTCCTCCCCAAAGTCAGATTTGAGAGAACCCTTAGGGTTCTGAAGGGCTTCACATTATAACATCTGTCCTTTAGGCCTTGGAAGAACAAGGCATTAGGGGACTGGGGAGATGGTTCAGTGGTTAAGGCACTTGCTGTACAAGCCGAAGGCCAGAATTTGGATCATCAGAACCCATATAAATGCCTGCTGGGGATGGCAGCTGACTGTAATTCCAGCATCAGAAGGTGGTTGTGGACCCTGTGTGCTACACTACAAACATACTAGACAAGATGTACTTGCTGGAGTAACAGGAACACAACTGTTATGGGTGCAACCGTTTTTCTTAACTATATGAATACAATGTGTGTGTGTGTGTGTGTGTGTGTGTGTGTGTGTGTGTGTGTGTGTGTGTGTAGGCCCATGGAAGTCAGAAGAGGGCATTGGCTTCCCTGGAGTAAGTTAACAGGCAGTTGTAAGCACCTAACATGGGTGCTAGAAACTGAAACTGGGTCTTCTAGAAGAGCAGGAGGTGCTCTTAACCTCTGAGCTCTCTCCAGCCTCACTGGATTTAAGGCATAGTCCATTGAAGGGAACTCACGTATGGTACTGTAAACCAGGGCAGAGACCTGTGGCTGGGGAAGTCTTAGGCATCAGTAGGGGAAGCCACTGATGTTTTGTTAAAACAGGTGTGATGTGCCTGTTAAATTGCTTTCTAAAACACTGTTTACATCCATACATTACTGCTGCTGTCATCCTCAGAGACAGAGGCAGACTTGTTTCTTACAGTTGGTGACGGTAACTGAAGAGACTCATAGTTAAGCTCTGTATCATGCCTCCAAGGCTCAAGAAACATCATCAAAGAGGGGGTAGAAAGAATGTCAGAGCCACAGGAAGGGGTGGTGGATGGTGCCCTCCTAGAGGGAGCAAAGAAGTGCATGCAATATTCTAGGCTCCAGAAACTAAAAAAGTGACATGATTCCAAGGCCCCTCCTCAAGGGTATATGAGCAGTAATAACTGCTGGGGAGACTCAGACCAGCTGTGCTGTGGCAAGTCATGCAGGGAGCTCATAGGATACAGTTCTCTTGAGTTGTCAGCCTGCTGGGGTGGACTTTTCAGTGATGCAGCTGCCTTTGAGAGACCCCCCAAAACTACTGGTGCATTAAGGTAGACTTGGATGCAACTGATTATTAGGTCTGTTATGCATGCCCAATCTGGGATAAACAGGCGTGTATTCATGTCGTCCCAGGAAAAGCCACACAAGTGCTGTATCTTTTTACTTTATTATAAAAGTGAACAGACAGGCAGCTTTGCTTTGTGCCATGGATGAGCCTTTTGTTTGTGGTGCTGGGAACAGGACCCAGGCCCTCATGCAAACCAGGCCACACTGTGCTCTACTACATCCCCATCCCTGTGTATCACAGCCTCCACATGCATTAGAAAAGCTAGATGCTTTATTTTCAGGTATCTTACATTTTTATTCAAAGTGGGAATAATAAGTATTAAGCAAACACACTAATTTTCAGGCACACAAGAATGCACAAATGCTACATGCCCAGCTCAGATATGCTTCTTGTCCCAGCTGTGTTCTGAGTCTCTCAACCTGGGCCATTCAGGGTGGCCTCTGTCAGGTGGGAAAAAAGTCAGACAAATCAAGGTGAGGCATCTGGTCTGGGATGTGGAGGAGGGAAAACGTTGCACAGTGATCTGAGTTTGGTGTTTAAAATCTCTAGAACATTCAGGCCTATAGTGAGAATGCATGACATTGCATCTGATGTTTCTCTGAGGATAATCACAACTGATAAATGAGCACATTAGCTTCCAGAAACAAACCAAAGGGATCCAAAATGTCCTGGGCTTCCTGTCTCTGAATGCCATCCAAACAGCCACCAGGCAGTGATGTGGGAATAGCAGAGCAGGCAAGGTGGTAGCCTGAGAGTGGGCCCAGCTAAGGGTGCAACCTCAGCTCAAGACACGCTCCTGAATGCCTGTCAAATGCTTTTACTGAACCTGCCAGAGTGGTAGTGATACATTTATTCTGGTGTCCACGGGACAGAGACCTGGTGAGGACTAGGCCAGCTTGAGGCACTGTGTGTTGAAGCTGTCTCCTTCTTTGCTGGCCACAGCTTCAAGCAGGCTCTGTTTCTTCTGCATGCTCCGTGAGGACTCCAGCTCGTACATCGTAGTCAGGTTGAAGAGCACACTTTCATGAAGGTAGTGCCTAGGATCCTGCTGCACCATGGCCTCTAGCTGCCGCAGGGAGTCCTTGAGCTTGCCCAGGTAAAGCAGACACACAGCAGCATTGTTGTTGGCCTGGAGGAAAGGACACGTGCTCAGGGTGGCCCAAGATACAAGCTAGCCTGCTCCTGGTGGTCAGTGGGCCTATGTCCCACCAACCCCTTTAGGGGCATCTGTGGTTAGGCCAAGATGGGATAGTGTGGACTTGGGTTTGCTGGTGTGCATGTTTGCAGCACCTGTAAAATGGGCCTGTGGCACCGAGTCTGCTTGGGCATCTTACCACTGCATTTGTGGGGTCCATCCTCAGAATCTCTGTGAAGAATTTGTGAGCTTCTGAAAAGTTATTCTGGCCAAGGTGCAGAAAGGCTCTGTAATATAAGTGGCAGATAAAGCCGTGAGCACAGGAGAGCCACGGACTGGTGCTCGCCAGCCAGCACTGGCTTTACCATGTACCAGGACATGGGACATATATGCCAGAGTCACCTGCTCTCAGGCAGAGGGAGTGACCTTGCTGCTTATTGGCAAGCCAGCCATCCAGTGTCTAGTCCAGACAAGGAATTCCACCCAAGGTTACTTTCTACCTTGCAAACTAACCCCCACTCTTTTCTTTCTTTCTTTCTTTTTCTCTCCCCTTCCTCCCTTCCCCCCTCCTTCCCTCCCTCTTCCCCTTCTCTCCCCTTCCTCCTCCCCCCTCTCTCCCCCTACCTCTTTCTTTCTTTTCATTCTGATTTGTATTTTTTTGTGTATGAGTGTTTTGCCTGCATGTATTTAAGAATACCCATATCATGCAATGCCCATGGTGGCTGGAAGAGGGAGCCAGATCCCCAGGAACTGGAGTTACAGATGGTTGTTAGCTGCCATCTGGGTGCTAGAAACCTAGAACTTAACTCAGGACCTTTCCAAGAACAGCAAGTACCCCCTGCTGAGACAGGATCTCCCTGTAGCCCCAGTTGGTCTGGTGCTTGCTGTGTAGATCAGGCTGTCCTCAGTCTCACAGGGATCCATTTGCCTCTGCTTTCCAAGTACTGGGATTAAAGGCATGGGCCTCCAGGACTGGCTTGTGTTCACTTTCTGATGTCTGGGTTTGCTTTGAAGTGGGAGCAGGTTTGTCCTAGTGAACATGAACTCATTATCTTGCAATATACATCTCATGAAAACTAACTGGAGACCAGCACTGCCAGGAGCCCCCAAAGGCACGTGTCAAACATGGGTGTAAATCTCTACTGAAAACAAGTTCAGGCAATGCTCTGAAGAACAAGGTTCTCTTAAGATTGGCTCTTACGACTGAAAGAACAGGGCTACAATTCTACAAAGCCAGCATATGACTTGGCCTGAGGCTCCTGAGCCTCAGAGGGAGGACACACTCCTTAGAGAGTGATCTCTTTAGACAAAGAATGGGCTCACAAGATGGCTCGGCTGGTTCCATCACTTGCTGTGTGAATCCAACAACTTGAGTTCAATCCCTGGAACCCACAAGGTGGGAGAAGAGAAACCAACTCCCCAAAGTTGTCCTTGACCTCCATATACAAAATAATTTTAAAAACTTAGCTGGCCTCAGCACTCATGAGGCAGAGGCAGGCGAATCTCTGTGGGTTCAAGGCCAGCCTCATCCACATTGTGAATTCCAGGCCAGCTGGGGCTACGAGACCCTGTGTCAAAAAGACCATAAAAACCAAAACAAAAAGCCAAAACAAAACAAAAAACTTACCTGTTCATTAAAACCATTATTTTACCCTGCAGTCCATCCAATTTCTGTGTTACTTTCTCAACGTCTTGAAAATATTTTTCAGCAGTTTTTATGTCTCCAATCTGCTTTGACAAAAAGTTTGTCAGTTTAGCTGACAAATTAAGAGATTAAATTCATATAGTTCCCTAGTATGGTATCAGAATACAAAGTCACCTGTGTGTCAGGCAGGGGACCTCAGGCCACCCAGTGATCACTGCTTTATTTCAGTAAAAAGGCAGGAGACATTTAAAATACAGAAGATTAGCAGTTAGCTTCCAGTCTCTGATAGGAAATTTCGTTGTTATCATGCATGCTTGATTAAAAGGTGTACAATTTAGCGGCTTGTAACCTCTAAAATTAATCCTGGATGGGGCTGGAGAGATGGCTCAGTGGTTAAGAGCACTGACTGCTCTTGCAGAGGACCTGGGTTCGATTCCCAGAACCCATGTGGCTGCTAACAACTGTCTGTAACTTCACTTCCAGGGGATTCAATGCTCTCTTCTGATCTCCACAGGCATTGTATGTTATGGGTACACTTACACACATGCAGGCAATACATTCATATACATAAAATAAAAATAATAAAATATTTTTAAAAATAAAATTAATCCTGGCCTAGCATTAAATAAAAACAAAATTTTAGTATAACACAACACGCCCATGTGAACTTCTGGGGTGTTTCTGGCTGGTAACAGTAGGTACCAAGTCTGCAAATTTCAAAGTATTATTTTGACCAAATAATATAGACTCTTATTGTAAAAACAAACAAATCCACTGTTATCCCATGTGAAGAAACCACCAGCCCCCTGAAACAAAGCAAGGCCCCTTAGGGTGGGCACCCAGGGAGGTAAAACGGGCAAATGCCTAGATGTCCTGGCTGCCAAGTCCTGACTTTACCCCCCTCTTGTCACGGATGCAGAACCAAAGATTGAAGTTGTTTCTTTGTTTGTGTTTTGAGACAGGGTCTTCTGTAGTCTCAGCTGGCCTGGGACTCATTATGTAGACCAGACAGGCCTCAATCTCACAGAAATCTGCCTGCTTCTGCTGGGATCAAAGGTGTGCACCACCACGCCCAGTGTACCAGCTGAGTTTTAAGAGAGAAGGTCCAGACTTCTTTTGCTCTAAGTAAGGCTTGTAATGAGACATGTAAGAAAATAAACTTTATACATGGGTAAGGGATGGACATATGTCTCGTGTTCAGGGCCTGACTGAAGGAGCTGTACTCTGGACACTCTAAAGTCCCATAAAAGCCAATCTCTTGACCACACTGTAACTATCATGACAGACACCTTGCTTCCTTCTGGTGACTGGAGACCCCAGAGAGATTGAGCTGTGTGACTCTGCATGCTTGCCACTGTCTGTCCATCAGAGGCCAGTCCTGCATAGATGTTCCAACAACATAGTTGCAGACGATCTTCCCAGGGTCTCTTCTGTTTTCAGCTAGTCTTGTGGGAACAGGTTCTGAGAACCTATTATCCAAACATCCTCCTGGGCAAAGGGCAGATATGCTTATGGCCTAGCATCTGAGAGACATGTGCACTCCAAGTCTCCACTGTGTAGTCCCTGCAGCCCAGCCTGTCTTCCTTCCTTAGCACCCAGGAGATAGCTCCCGTCTGCTGAAGCACTGTGGCGTGTGATACGTGGCCTGTGTCTGGCGTGGTATATTCTTTCTTTTGCCCATGTTAATCCGTACCACAGCTAATTCATAGCTTGTCAGGACACATCTTGACCCTTTAGTTCTACCAGCAAATGCAAATGCCACACCAGGAGAAGAAAACCCAGCACAAGGAAATGCATAGAGGACAGAGCTGGCAGCTATGACATAGGCCTGTTGCCTCAGGGCTCAGAGGTGGAGGCAGGAGGCTTGTTGTGAGATTGTGGCCAGCTTGGCTATGGAGTGAGCTTTAGGCCAACTGGGTTACAAGAATGAGGGGGAGACAATGACTACTGCTTCTCCCTGTGGTACCCCTGAAGTCTGTCACAGACCTCCTGCTCACTGACTGACTAAAATACCCCAAGTCAGTGCCACTTAACGGCATGGTGCTCAGCTTTGGCATGCAGTCTGCAATTGTTCACATTAACCACATCATGCTGAGCAGGGCAATGTCTAATGTTGACCTGGAATTACTGTAGCAAACAGTGAGGCAAACAGGGCCTGCACTTGGTGCTTCACCCAAGCACCTGTGCACCCTTCACCCTCCTGAGCACCTATGCCAGACCCAGCTTTACTTTTTGGACAAAACCAACCAAACAGAATGAGATCAGGAGTGTTGAGGCAATTTTCTTGGGTCACATAACTTCTGTGTGACAGCTGGGGCTCAGAACTTGCTCGGCTGTGAGACCACAAGGTGACCTTCTGGCACAGGACCCAGTGTAACCAACACAGGACACAACTGAAAGGGTTTCTTAGAAGAAAGTAACGGAGCTCAGGGTATTCTCTGCCACCCACTAATTAGAGGTAAGCTTACACCTTCGTAATTATTAAAATGGAATTAGGACTTAAAAGCCTACTAATTTTTAAGAGTTATAGACAGTTGAAAAAGTAATATAAATGGCGATTAAAAGTATTACAGAATACTTAGAAAATAAATAACATGAGCTGTTTACAACAATAAACAAGGGAACCTGGAAACAAAGCAAGAGCAGGAAGATTAGAAATGCTAAAGAGGCACAAGTAGGGAGGGAACCAAGGTAACCACAGAGGTCTGTACTTGACAGAGCACTAGGCAAACTGAGCAAAACAAGGACCCTGTAGGGAGTTTTCTAGGAAAGAAATTTTCTCTTACCAAAATTGATTCCAGAAATGGAAAAACCTTAGGCATAGAACACCAAGACAGATTAGTAGCAATGATAAGTGATGAAGGATGCATGGTGTCCCCCAAGTGTCTGGCAGAGGACTCTCCTACTGACTTATTCACACCTTCCAGAGCCAGACAATTCCAAATTATTACACAATTCTCAGAGAACGCAGAGACAGAAGGCAAGCAGCTCTGGTTTCCTGCCTGGATGCATGATCTTTTCTGAACTGGTTCACTCCCTTGACGCTGTCCCTGAGGCCTTGAGCAGAGAACTAAACCCCACACTTCTAGGAGTGTGTGCTCAACAAACACCTTCCCAAATTTCAAAAGCCATGGAGAACCTAATGTGCACGTATCAGCATGCTTTTGAAGAGTTGCTCATACGCAAACCGCAAGACCAAGTTCACTTATAAATTCAAACATCTAGGGAAACCTACTGCCCACACCTCCTGTCTGTCCGCACGTCCCACTGCCACGCTGTGTGCATTTCTCTGGCACACATGAAGTGCTCCCAGCCTCTGGACTCTGGGTTCTCTTCAGGTGCTCATAAGCAGGAATACTTTCTCCTCCCATCTTGCAGCAATTGAGGGCACAGATTTCAGGTGGTGCTGGGCAAAGGGGGTGAGCAGGACTCTCATTTCCCATGTGGGGAATGAAACTGTTAGAGGTGAGGCTGGGAGCTCTGCACAGCCTGACTGGCTGTGCTCTACACTCTCTCTGCTTGGCCAGTCTCCTCCTATATCTCCTCTGATATAGTTTCAGACACCTTACCATCTAGGTGGCCTCTAGCCTGTTGGCGATGGTCAATAACGGACTTATACCACCCTCAAGACTGAAGGTTCACAGTGGTGAGCTATTTATTATTCAGTGAAGTGGGGACCTGGGACAGTTTTCTCCATGACAGGCACCAGATGATCCTAAACATACCCAGAACCCACACTGCTATTTTAACAGCCACAGCAGGTGTTCATGATTACATTTGTAAATTCCAGATATTTTCATATTTATTATCGATAGTTATAGAAATGTAGGTTAGCTTGGTGAGACAGCTCAGCAGGAAAGATGCTTGCTGCCAATGCTGACAATCTGAGCTTGAAACTCACATGCTGGAAGGAAAGAACCAATTCTTGAGAGTTGACCTCTGAGCTCCACCCTTGTGCCGTGGCACTCACACACCCACCCACATTCACACACAACAGTTTCCTAATTCATTTTTTTTTTTTTAAAAGGAAGAGTTTATTTAGCTTATGGTTCCAAAGGGACAAGAATCCATCATGGTGGGAAGTGACGGTAGAGGTGACTGGAGTAGGAGCAGAAGCTAAGTCTCACATCTTCAAGCAGCACAGGAAGCTGAGCGTGACTGAAGATCCTGAAAGGCTTAAGAACTCTCTAAGTCCACCCCCAATGACATGCTTCCTCCAGCATGGCCCCATCTTCTAAGACCTCCCAGAACAGCACCAGCAACTAGGGACAAAATGTCCACATACTTGAAGTCTATGGGGGAAATTTTCATTCAAACTACCATGATGCCCTAGCTTTTTATGTGGGTACTGGGATGGAACTCAGCTTCTCGAGTTTTGCCACCTCACTATTATCTAATCTCTGCAACATTATAATAAAGTCTGCTTGGTGTAATATTTCTCTTTTTTGGACACTGCCCAGATATGAGGGTAGAGGATGATGAGAAACCTAAATTAGTGAGGTCTTATTTCCAATAAGGATTCCTTCCCACGACCAATTTTGAGTTCCAGCGCAGGACAAGATGCTCTCCTGAAAGAGAAGGAGGAAACCCAGACCTGGTCTCTTCCCAGTCATGCTCAGTTCTTTGTCAAAATGATGTCAGTGCACAAAAGTGTCTTAAGGGAGAGGCCTTTTACAAAGTGTTGTTTGGCTTGCACACTTCCCATCCTCCTTCCTGGTTGGTTTGTCATCTCACTAAGCCTGACTGGCCTCCAACACAGGATCTTCCTGCCTAAGCCTCCTGTTGATGATGCCCTTGAATCCCAGGTGTCTTCAAGCCCTAACTGGTCCAGTTCTGGGTACTCATTGGCACTTCACGAATTTCTTTCCATGTTTCTTCCTCAGAGTTTCCAGTGTGTTGAAGAAATCCCCCAGCCTAGGGCCCCAGAAGCACAGGGGGACCCGCCTGGGGAGCCCCACGATGCGGCGCACACACCTCGACGCGCCTTCAGCAGCACCGCATTGGCCATGATGTTCTCTAGGTCCATGGCCCGCCGCCGCCGGCGGCGCGAACGCATCCTCCGCGGCCCGGGAGGCGGAAGCGGGCAGACCCGGGAGGCCTCCGAGCCGGGAGCCACGGCTGCCTCAGGCTCCGCTTCGATCGGCGCCGCCACCACTGCCACCAGGAGCGCCGGCGTCGCAGTCGCCGTGGGCGCGAGGCCCGACCCGGGGGAGGCTTGGGGCGGGCGACCGGCCTGGGCTAGCGGCGGCGGCGCCCGGTCGCTCGCGCTCTTCTTGGCCTCATCGCCCCGGCCCAGCGCGCGTAGCCTTTTCCTCAGCGCCGGGTCCCGGGGCGGACCCGAGCCTCCGCTGCCCCCCACCCCACAGGGGGCTCACTGGCCGGGGAGCTGTCCCCGGGGGTGAGGGCTGTAGGCGCCGCCGCCACTGCCCACGATGCGCAGGGTAACCCCCCTAATTCATTTTATAATATGAAAACATTATCAATTTTAGACCTGTGTTTCTTTTAGATATTTTTATTACATTACATACTTATTTGTGTGTGTGTGTGTGTGTGTGTGTGTGTGTGTGTGCATGCATGCCGTGATCAGCATGTGGAGGCCAGAGGACAACCTGTGGGAGTTGGTTCTCGCCACTGTGTGTGTTCTAGGGATTGAACTCAGGTCATCAGGCTTGGCAGCAAGAGCCTTTACTTTCTAAGTCATCTCACTGACATCCAGATGACTTTTTAAAAAAATATTTTATTTTTATGTTTTACGTGTATGTATTGCCTGCATGTAAGTGCACCTAGTGCAATGCCCTCGGAGGTCAGAAGAAAGTGTTGGATCCCCTGGAACTGGAATTACAGACAGTTGTTATCTGCCATGTGGGTGGTGGGAATTGAACCTGGGTCCTCTGCAAGAGCAGTCAGTGCTCTTAACCACGGAGCCATCTCTCCAGACCCAGATAACTTAAAAAAAATTTTATTATTTATTATTATTATTTCGTTTTTTTTTGAGATAGGGTCTCCCTGTAGCCTCAGCTGGCCTGGAATATGCTATGTAGACCAGGCAGGCCTTGAACGCATAGAGATCCGCCTGCCTCTGTCTCCTGAGTACTATGCTACCATGCCCAGCTAAAAAATTTTATTATTTTTTTTTGATGTGTATGGATGTTTTGCCTGCATGTATGTTAGTGCACCATGTGTGCACAGCTCTGCAGAGGCCAGCAGAGGGTGTAGGATCCCATGGAACTGGAGTTATGGATGGTTCTTAGCTGCCGTGTAAGTGCTGGGAATCAAACCCAAATCCTCTGAAAGAACAGCAAGTGTTCTTAACTGTTGAGCCATCTCTCAGCCCCATGACTTTGTTTTTTTAAGACACGGTCTCTGTAGCCTCAGGCTGGCCTGAAATTCATTATGTAGCCCAGGTCATCCTCCTAGGTCAGCTTCCAGAGTGTGGGGATTACAGGAATAAGCTAGCACACCCGGCTTCTTTAGGTTCGCTCTTCATCTCTCGACCATCTCCTGCTATCTCTTTTCCCCAGTGCCCTTCTTCCTTCCCTGGCCACTCTTGAGCTGTTCGGCTGTGGCCTCTTCAGCTGTTAAGCAGTCAGATGTTGTGGCTGCACTGCTCTTCCTGTCACTGCCACTCTGCCATTTCTACTTCTTTACCAGCACAGCCTGCACTGCTAAAAGTGATAGGAAAAGACTACTTGAGAGAAGCCCGTTACTGGGCCCAATGTGATGCTGACAGGAAGGAATAAGGAGTGTCTCCCCGACGCAGTAAGCAGGCTGTTTCCCTGGCCCAAGAAGGGGCATCTGGACCAATCACAGTCTTGCCTCTCAGCATCAGCCATAATCATTGTGTCTTATATTCTGGACCAATCACAAGTCTTGACTCAGTGCCACGCATAGTCACAGAGGCTTGTTTTAGACCACTCGCAGTCATTAAGGTTTGCTTTTTGGACCAATAGGTCTTTTTTTCCAGCCCCTTGCCTCTTGGTGGCAGTCCCATCAGTCCCTTGCTAGACCGCCAGGGAGCAGCGTTCTGCTTGGCCTAGATGGAAAAGGTTGCAGGGTCACTCAGAGTTCAAGGCTTATGATGCAGGCTAATTGTCTCAAACAGCTCTGACTGAGTTTGTGCCTCCAGGAGCCAGAGATATCAGCAACATTTTCAAGCACTTTCCCAAGGAGACTGCAAGTGTTCTGGATGGCTGGTGTGGTTGGCTCTTTGACTGACAGTCCTTTTGTTTAAGGCAGCAGGGCACAAGGAAGAGTTCAACAACCGCTAATTAGGGAGTCAAGTTGCCCACCCCCAACACCCTTCCTTATTTATAGGAAAATGAACATCAGGAGCAATGCTCACAATACAGCTTATTAACACCAGCAGTAATTTTAACAGGTTTGATGTGTGCCCCAGGGGAGGTGGGTCCTTGTCATCTGGCTCACATGTACCTACTCATGAAATTCTGAAGACTGAACACTAATTCTGTTCATCATTGTGGCTTGAGGGGCTGGTTGGCCTGCAGTGCCCTGGGTAGTGTTCTGTCCTTAACAAGTGCAGGAGCACCTTACTCTCTGACAGTGGGGGAGTTCTTCCCGTGTTCTACATCTCTTACTAATCTAACACTTGCACATCTCTTCCCCCATCCTGTAGGCACCTTCATTTCCTTCAAGGTCTTTGAAGCATACAAGCTTCTGATTTGGATGACGTCCAAAACATGCATTTTCCTTTTCTGCTCATGCTTCTAGAGTTAAGTCCAGGATCATAAGGCCTGGCTAGGAGGACAGAGCCTTCCATTCCTTCTCTGACCACATCAGGGAACTCCACATTACCCTGGGAGCAGTTGGGACACAGGCCTCCTCCCCTTGGGCTTGTTCTGGCTGTCTCACTCCTTCAGCTGGACCTTACTGACTAGTCATACCCTTGGACTTGACCTTGTCCACCTCATATTGTATGTTGAGAAGTCAGTTTTCTGGGAAGTCAGAAGCTGCTTGTTCAAATGCTTGTTTTGGGAACTAGAGTGAAGCCCAGGAAAGTATCTCCTGCGTGACTCTAGAGTTCATTAGGAGGGGGTAGCATGGGCAAGGCAGAGCCTGAGGTCATCCCTTACCAAGCAGTAGGGGGTACTGGCAAGTTAGTCAGTACACAGTATTCACAGTGGCCCTAGGCCTGTGGGGAGGGAGGCAGAGCCCCTCTTCCCTCTGCACTGACCTGGACTCTGCCTGGTGGCAGACATTGGGGGTCAAGTGAAAGGAGACCTCCCTAGCTTGACTCACCTCAGCTTAGCTAAGAGGGAAGAAGGGAGGAAGAGAGGGAGGGAAGGAGGAAGAGAGGGAGAGAAGAAGGGGTAGAACATCATTGATGTTCTTGAATAGAGGTTATCTTTTCATTTGCTGTTTGTCCTTATAACCATTTCTAGTCACTGCAAATGGCTTATTAAAACAAAAGTTTTATATTTCCTGGGGAGGGGTTAGCAGAGCTTTGCAGGTTGTAGGCCATATCCTCCTTTTAAAAGTAGTTTTCTGTAGGTGTGACAATGCTGACATACAATCTAATGTGCTTGGACATGTATCACTATGTAGGGCCACTACCAGTCAGGTCTCCTGGCTGCAATTCCAACCGGCCATTGCTATCTGCTCTGCCGCCTCCATCATTGTTCTCAGTGTCTCTATTCCACCTACACTGTCCCCACAAGAACATGCTCAGGTTTCCCCCGACTCCTCACACCACACATGGCTCTAGCATCCTCTCCCTGGCTCCCCTGCAGTCTTTGGTCTGGCAACTGCCTGGCTCTCAAGTGAACTCTGGTGGTGTTCTGGTTTGTTTCTTCATTGCTGTGACAAAATACTCTGACCACTACCAACCTGAGGAGGAAAGGATTTATTTAGCTTACATATCCCGGATCACAGTTCATCCAGGAGCCCAAGGTAGGAACTCAGGGCAGGAACCTGGAGGCAGGAGCTGGAGCACAGGCCATGGAGGAATGCTTACTGGCTTGCTCCCCTGGCCCCTGCTCAGCCTGCTTTCTTGCAACACAGGCCCACCTGCCCAATTGTGGCACCACCCACAGTGGGCTGGGCCCTCCCACATCACTCAACAATCAAGAAGGTGCCCCATGGACATGGCCACAGGCAATGAAGGAAATTCCCCAATTGAGGCTCCCTCAACCCAGGTGTGTCAAGTTGACACTAAAGCTATCATGGCCATGGATTTCCTTGAGGTGTCCTCTGACGTCAGGTGTTCACGATCATCCTCTTGCTCTGCCCTGGACAGCAGAATTGCTTTTGTACAGCTGTGTCCATGCTTTGGTCAGAGCCATTGGTCCAAGACTGGCTACTGTGCTTTCATGGTGGGTCAAAGCTGCCTGGCTGGTTGTAAGTGATGACCTCATGAGTCCCAAGTGAAAAACTTTGGAGGGTCTGAGTTTGAGTCAGAAAGAAGTAACTTTACAAGTGCAAACAGAATGCTCCATAAGTCTGGAAATTGGACTACTTTGCTCTGTTTTTGCACTGCTGAGAAGCTCCTGGATATGGTGTCTGGCCTTGTGAACAGGTATTGACAGCGTGGGCCCCCTCTCATACCCAGTTCCCACCCCCTCACCATGTCTACCTCCTTTCTGTGCAGAAGGAACACATGCTCTGCAGGATGTTGTCTGTGACAGCAACATCACAGGCCTGACAGTGAGTTTCAAACACAGAGATGCCACCATCACTCTCCATACTCTCCCTCCCATTGGTAGACAGTGAGCCCATACAGAGGGGAAGCTGGCATCATGCAGGGGGTGTCTGCAGAGATGCCCTGCCCTAGCCTGGTTTTGTTCCTTCCCAACCCCAGCTCCCAGGCTCTGGCACTCCCTTGCTGATGCCTGGAATGGAGCAGGGGACAATGTGTTTGAGGGGCTGGGACATGAAACCCTAAGGGAAGGCAGGACTTACACGGGTGGAGGAGGAGGAAGGTGTCTGTGCATGAAAACAGTTCCTGCAGAGTGGAAACACATGGTGTCCTGTCTGGGTACCAGTGAGCCAACAGCTTGGTGGGAGGACAGAGGACAGGAGTGGAGGAAACTATGCTGGAAAACATTAGAAGGGCTAAATTTTTGAGGGTCTTGAACATGGGCCTCCAGTGTAGGCTTATCTTAAAGATCATAGCCACAGCTGACAAAACCCTGACAGGAAGAGCAGAGCTGTGCTCAAGGCGCAGGCCAGAGGCTGGAGGAGCTGAGAGTGGCAGAGGTGCTACAGGGAGGGCAGAGATGGTGATACCACCTCTCTGGCCCTCTGCTGAGCCTCTAAGTGAGGAAGTACTAACCAGGCACAGAAGATGGTGTGAGGACCTGTTTCAGTGATATGGCCAACACATTCAAACATGTTAGGAAACCATGTGCAGGTCAGCTGCACCCATGGGCACCAGCTGTGTGATGTGATGCTCCATGGCTACTCTCGAGAGCCATGAATCCCAGGACTGGTTTGAAAGTAGGTCCAGAAGCTGCACAAGGATGGCTAAGAGCAAAGCCTGCCTGCTTCATCCTTCTTCCTCAGGTCCAAAAAGTTTAGCTGTGCTGATCCAACTGAACCCAGACCTTACTAGTGGCTGAATTTCCTGTATGGTACAGCAGTGGGGCTACAGTCAGTCACTGAAACTGCCCAGAAGGCCCCTGATATGGCAGGCATGGTGCATGGCTCTGGAGACATACTAAACTCAGTATCATGATCTTGATTTCCTATAGAACAGACCTTCAGCAATAGCAAAAACACCAATAGGACACAGTTCTTGAGAGGGAAACTACAGTTACCCATTGGGATGTCACTGACAGCCTTCTTCCCCTGCTCACTCAGCAAAACTGCTGACCACAGTGCTGATCACTGGCCAGGCATCCTGCTTACCATTTTCCTCATACACTGACAGGGTTAAATAAGGCTCCAGATGCTGAGTGTCCTCCATGAGATCCAGCTACCTGCCACTCCCACTGGAAGAAATACTCTTGAGTACAAAAGATGACACAGTGCAGAACTTTTATAGCAATTTTGAGCATCTCCTCAGACGATACAGACTGACTAACTGAAACTTCTGAGATGGTCTCAGAGGCAGGGAGGATAAGAACAGATATAGGATGCTGCCTCAATCTGATAAGGTGGTACTAGTACACAGCAGACACCCACTAGACCCCAGCCCCATGGTGTGTTTTGGTACATGTACTATGACCAAGGTTACTATGAGCATGCTGGTGTATGGGTGAGGAGGCAGTGCTGACCACTGCGCACTGCCCTGTCCCCCAGAGGAAAGTGCCAAGGCCCGATGCAAATGAAGGCTGGTGGGGCTTCGATCTCATGTCCCTCAACATCTGCACCCAGCAGCACAAGATCATCTTGCAGTATCACAAGACCACCTTGCAACACACTCCAGAACAGTCCTGTGTGCACTGTGGACTTGGATGAGTCCACATGGGACAATTTGTTCTTCTCTGACCTTACTCTGTCCTGGGTCCACATCTACACACAGGTGAGTGGAGGACTGTACTACTGAGGCCTCCAAATCAGGGACAGGATGCCCCTCCTTTGCCAGGATGCACTCAAGAGTCCCCTTCAGGACAGATGCAGATTAGCTGACGTGACCCAAATTATAACAGGACAGTTTCTATAGATTCACTCTGAGCAACTGCCTTAATAACTGTGCCAAAGCCATCAGGATGTAATACCATCAAAGAGAATCACTGCCAAGAACTAACATCTTACTGCTCACACTAATTGGAACTGAAATATTTTCTCATTGCTTCCTGTTTTTATGAAGTTCGGAAGGACAGAATTTCTGAGTAGCCCGTTGGCAAGTGGTACCTGGAGGAGAATGCGGCCAATGCCACTCAACAGCTGTGGCTCCTGCTCTGGGAAGTACTTGATTACTGCACGGTATGCATCCACAGCCAGTACGTAGTCCTGTAGAAGAGACCCAAAAGCATGTGGTAAGCTAGAGAAGCTGTACAACTGTCCAGGTACTCTTTGGACCAAGGACACATGAGCACACAGCCGGTGGAGGCAGGAGGCCAGTGCAGGCCCCAGGCCCCTCAAACCAATAGTGGTTCTGTGTGACCGCTGTGCAGTCTTCTGTTATCACAAGGGCCCTGGACCCAGAATTAGGCCTGATGGATGCTTCCTGCTCCCACCTTCAAAGCAGAAACTCAGCGGCCAACCACACTGGGTCTCCAGCTCTTTTCTGGCAGAGTAGTTATATGGATCAGAGGTTCTGCATAATCTCATCCTCTGAACACACAAGCCACATTTTAAAAGTGTCTCAAACATTTTCTGTGCTAGACGTTGAGACAAAATGTCAATATTGAAACAAATACCCTACCAATCAACTTTGCCAGGACAGTGAACCCAAGTTCTAGGTCACCTTCTACAGCCAGGCACATGGATACCACTCCTCCCTGTAGTATATGGGAAGTTCCTGTTGCTTCAGAGAACTGCACAGGGGCAGTGAAGGTATCGGGGATGTGGTGTTCACACCTTGCACAGTGTCCCTCATTTGTGTCCTTCAGCCTTGAGTGCCTTCCTCTCAGTGGTCTCACACCAACCCTGCCTGACTGCAGTCCCTTCTGGAGGCAAGGTCTGGCCACCACCCACCAAATATCCATTTCCCAATTGTGGTCCACAGTGTTGCCCAGCACATGGTTCAGAGGTCAGCTCCTCTCTCATGCTCTGTGAAGTGATGGTGACCACCTAGCACAGCTGAGCAAGCTATCTGGCAGGAACTGCCGAATACTTGATATTGGCTCAGTTACAGTACATAGCAACCCATGGCCACTTTTGCTGGTTTTTCTCTTAACTATTCAAAAAAATTCTAGAAGGTACTTTATTTCTGTATTCTACATTTTCAGTTTCCTCCAAACTGGGACTGAAGTTACTAGTTTGCTAATTGGGATGTTATAAAGGCAGATGACAAGAAAAATTCCAGTTTGGCAGGAAAAAAAAAAGGAGCCTTTCCAGTCTGGTACCTTCAAGTGCAGCTCGTTAAAACTAATTTTATTCAAGGCCTGATGCTCACGAGGAGCCAGACCACACATGCCTTGGTTTCCTCTCCCACTCTTTGCTGCCTGTCACTGATGCCTGTGGCCAGGCTGTCCTGCTTCTAGTTGTGTCCATGTGCGTGCGTGCGTGCGTGAGTGCATGGAGGGAGGGAGGAGAGAGAGAGAGAGAGAGAGAGAGAGAGAGAGGGGGGGGGAGGGAGAGGGAGAGAGAGAGAGAGAGAGAGAGAGATTGTGCATGTGATTGAGTGTGTAGGAGTATGATTATGTGTGTGTGTAGCTGTATGAGTGTGTGATGTGTGTGACTGATGTGTGCATGATGTGTGATGATGTGTGTATGCATGCACACATGTCTGTGAGGTGCCCACACTGAAGGCTTTGTGGTAGCTCCTTGGCCCTCAGGATGTCAAGGTCATAGCTGAGGAGGTGCCACCCTTGTGCAGCTTCTGGACCTGCTTTCAAACCAGTCCTGGAATTCAGGCTCTCCATAGATGAGTAGCAGCCAGTCCCTACTTCCCCAGGAGGGTCATGATCCCTAAGCTCCCTCCTGCCGGGAACCTCCTCTAACCTGACCCACATTCTTACTTTTTTAAAATTTATTTTTTATTGAGCTTTTGTACATGTCATACAACAGTTCTTAATCAAATTTAGGCTCCCTCCCCCATCCATGCTCCCCCCATCACCGGACTTCATGTATTCTGCCATACATGTTTAAGCCCTATCCAGTCAAGCCACACTCTTTACTTTTGGTTTCAATGAGCAAAGGGCAGACTTTGTGCTTATGATCACCAGCCCTGAGTGTCACAGCATCCCACCTGTACAGATGCTGCCATCCTGGCCTGATCTTCATCCTGCTAATAATGCTTCTGACAGACAGCTGTGGACACAGCCAGGGTGGGAGCATGGGGGGCTAGCATGCCTGGGCAGCAAGTCCTGCTGGGATGGCTTTTTGGCTGGCATCCCCGCTTCCAAACCTTCTATTTCAGAGCTTAGGGTCAGAGGTTCATGTTTCTAATGATGGCCTGGCAGAAAATATACCCATGAGCTTTGATGGGATTTTATTGTTGCTCTGTTAAAACACTGATCTCCTAAGAGCTTGGGTAGACCACAGGCTCGAGAACCATGAAAGAAAGTGGCAGAGAGAAAGGACTGTCAGGCAGGGGCCAGAGGAATCAATGTGAACAGCCTATGCTCAGATTCAGGAGACTAGGGCTCAGGGCTGTGCTCTTTGGGAGCTGGCTCTTTGGTTATGCCGAGTAAGCTCTCTAGCTGATCATTATACAGTGAAATCACTCTGTGAACATGGAGGGCCCTTTAAGGATATGGCTGACAGCAGCTCTTTGGAGAGAGTGCCCATTCCATTCTTCTGTTCATACAGACTTGCCTTTTAAAAGGAAGACATATATCCCCACACAGGGGCAAAAGCATTTTGGTACAATGTCTACCCTTTTCTGTGAGCAGTTATACTGACCCAGTGGCTGCTAAACCAGATTTACAGCCATTCTGTCACCAAAGGCTTCATGTAATACGACCTAAGCAGATATGAGGCAGGCTCATGTGCTTCATGACCTTTTCCATAGGGAGAAGCCATGACAAGTGGTGCCGAGTGAGAGGTGTAGGGATGTGGGCTTGGGTGAGGGGGTTTCTAAGGGAGGCTGTAGCACCAACCAGTTTCACCCCTGTGGCACAGGACCCTTATGAGGCTTGGGGAAGTCATGTTTACAAACTGAGAGGGTCAGGGGTTTCCAGGGCTTTGTCTTGTAGGCAAGTGTGGCTGACAGTGTATTATGTGGATATTCAGAGCTAGATAATATAAGCAAATTTCTCATCATTAAAAAGTTAAGTGAATATATACATCAGTGTAATAGAAATGTTACTCGTAAATAATTAAATGGCTTATTAAAGGGCTCATTGTTAGCTGGTACACAGAATATAATGAACATGTATGCAGCCCACCCACTGTTGCAATACTGGGTGTGCCCATCAGATGGCAACAGAACACATGTATTAGGATCCGCTTTACTTGGAACATTTTCCACTCCCTTTTAATTTATGAAAATAAAAGTAAACTAAACTTTTAACTTAAATAATACCCATTACAAAAGTGCTTTTGAACAATGATAATATATCCTGTTCTGAGTTCAGCAACACAGGCCTAGCATTTGGTGTCTCTGTCCACATGGCTGGTGGTCACAGCTACGGCACAACAAAGAAAAAGTATCTTTGTGCCATGATTTTCTATTAATTCATTTTAAAAAGCAAGAAAAGGCTCAAAGCAGGGCTGGTAACTTCCCTCCCTGAGGAGCTGCAGTTCCATGGTCAAAGAAACACCAGTGGTACAAGTTTCTAATTTGCTTTTTTTGGGGCTTGTTTTATTTTGAGACAGGGCCACTCTGTAGCCCCAGCTGGTCTGGAACTCACTATGCAGACTAGGCTGGCCTCAAGCTCACAGAGATCTGCCTGCCACTGCCTCCCAAATGCTGGGATCTACAATTTGTTCTTCATTTCTTGGACTCACAGCACCTTGGTAGTCAAAATTCAGAGACTGTCAGGTGACACAGAGGGCTTGATACTGGAGGCCTGACTGTGGATTGTTAAGGCTGCTGGTGGGGTTTGGGAGCTGGCCACATCAGCACTGGGAGAGTGGCCTGGGCCAGGGAAGTGTGGGGTAGAAGGAAGCACACCCCTCTCTGTCTGAGGGCTGTAGCACTTATGGGTGGGGCAGACTCTGTGATGGGGAAGAGAAGGACACAAGCTAGGAGGGAAGAGGCGAGGAACAAAGGCCCTATAGGCAATGAGCCTTACGGAAATATCTCAGACTCAGATTTTTTTTTTTTTTGACAGGGTCTTCCTGTAGCCCCAGCTGTCCTGGAACTCACTAGGTAGACCAGGCTGGCCTCGAACTCATGGATATTCGCCTGCCTCTGCCTCCCAAATGCTGGGATTAAAGGCACAGGACACATGTCCGGCAGACACAGAATTCTTTAAAACTATATTTTCCTTTATCCCAAGTGTTGAAGGGCAGGAAGGAGCTGCGTGAATATGAGAGCTGGGAAGGATATCAGAGAAACTATTCCTCCTGTGTCAAGGTCACCTGATAGGATGAGCCTGATTGGTCTGTCTGCACCCAGTGTCACATATCACACACCTGCAGAGATGCAGAGGATGGACCCTGTACTATAGCTGAGATGTGGCTACACAGCTTCCCCTACCAAGTCCAAGGACATGGTCATGTGGAGGGCTGCCAGTTGGGCTAAAGAGAGGAGCACATCTCTCACTTGGTAACCTGCCTGCTGGTGAAAGCTCAGCTAGCACAGGATGACCTTGGCTGTAGGAGGAGTGCTGAGTTGTCTCACCCCAGCCCAGAAGGTGTTAATGGCACCCTGGGCACCTACTGACGGATTCATGCAGCAGTTTCAGTGCCTACAGCTGGCAGCAGGGCTGCCAACTCTGCAGCAGGACACCCGTGCCCAGGGCGGGAGGTGAGCCAGGCATGGGGAGTCTTTGAAACGAGAGAAGCCTGGAAACATGCTGCCTGGGCTGGCAGGGCTGTGTGGAGAATAGACTGGAAACACAGTGACTGACGGCTTGGCTGGCTCAGCTCAGTTCCCTGATTAACGCTGGCTCCTTCTGTGGAAAGCTCTGGGCGAACTCCTCACAAGTGGGTCTGGTGGGAAAGCCTGCCTTCAGATGTCAAAAGCATCAATCATAAAAAAAAACCCACCCTCACACCAAGGCAAGGAGAACAAAGGACCCTTTTCTGGGTAGAATTCAGAGGAAAACAGGGCAGAATGAATAGTTTTAATTAAATCACTTAGACCTAGGCCCACACAATTAAATCTGGTAATGTAAACTATTTCCTGTGGAATTTTCATCAAATTTCAGAAACAACAAATTTGGTCCCTGAATGTGACTGAACTCTACTGAGCAATCCAGGCCAAGCTGAACACTGCCTGGGCCCAGGGCCCACTTCCATGTCAGTTCTGTCAGAACGTACAGCGCTTTCTGGCAGCTTCCCACTGGCATGCTCCCTAGAATGAGGCACTCTGCTGCATGGCCACCCACATACCTTCATCAGGAGCAGACAGTTCGCCATGGAATACAGCACACGGCCTAGTCGCGCCCTCCACAGCTGAACCGAAGCTGTGGGAGAGAACAGTATAAGTGTACATAGGCAAACAGTGGTCACCAGAGCTGGGTATGGTGGTGCACGCCTTTAATCTCAGCACTTAAGAGGCAGAGGGTGGCAGAGCTCTGTGAGATCAGGGCCAGCCTGGTCTACATAGTGAAGTCAGTTGGGATTACTGGGAGATCCTGTCTCAATGAAACAAACAAAACAAAACAAAATAAAACAAAACAAAAAGAAAAACAAACAAAAAAAATAAAAGTCCCAGGCTAACCTCATCAGTCTCACCCAGAATGTTTAGTTTGTTGTGGGCTACACTGGAGACAGGAAATTGTTATCAGCAGGATGGTCACAGTGGGCTCTCCTCAGAGACCATTTGCATAGATAATACAGCAAGAAAACCATCCCAGTTCAGACAAGTGACCCAAGCCCTAATCAGAAGTTCAACTTCTTTTCTTTTCTTTTTGAGGCAGGGTCTCATTATGTAGCCGTGGAATTTGCTTTGTAGACCAGGCCGGCCTCAAACTCAGAAATCTGCCTGCCTCTGCCTCTCAAGTGCTGGGATTAAGTGTGTGCCACCATTCCTCGATCTAGGAGTCCATTTTTAGGCTAGAAGCCTATGAGCACCTCTGATGTAAACACGGCACAGGCTTGCAGCTGTGAGCTGCTAGATGGACTACTGCCCAGGGTGGCTGGACACCTCTGGAAGCTGACCTATGGGAGGTGGCCAAGCAGCAACCGTGTCCAGCTGCAAGGCTACCCTCACGGGTCCCAGGGCTAGTGGAGGAGCAGGTTGTACACAGGAGGCAGGGCTGGGTGGCTCTGCTTTAGATCCTGTGACCTGGGGAAAATGAGCAGACCCTTTAATTTTTAAGATGGAAACAACGTCTGGCCTATCTTCTTCACAGAGCTGAGGATGGATACTGGCAGTAGGCCAAAAAGTGCCACCTGAACAGTAAAAGCACTCCTTACTTGTAGAGAGGACAAGGCCAGCACCTGTGCAAGTGAACTGCACACTCCTTTGCTCACTTTGAATATCAGCCATCTTCTGCTGATTCAAAAACTTTTACTGCCTAGCTCTTCTGTGGCTTTCAAACTGGCTCTGTGAACTTGCTGGGGTCCCCTAACAGCTGCCTGGGGCAAAGAGAGGGCTGACTGATGTTTCCTAAGGTCACAGGTAAAGCCTGGCAGAAGAAGTGGTTTCAATTAAATCACTTAGACTTAGGCCTGCACAATTAAATTTGGTAATGGATTGGGGACTGTGCTGTGTCCAAGTATGTATTCTGCTAGTAACTAGGTTGAGGCCCAGACAGACAGGTGGGGATGTGTCATCTTGCCCTGGTTGGTGCTCTCCATCCTAGGCTCTGCCTACTCCTTCCAGAGAATCAGACACACCAAGACACTGGGTGGAAGGTGGGCAGGTGGATAGGCAATGCCACCTTCAGATCTGCCCCAGGGGCATAAACCTGGGCATATCTCTAAGCTTAGGTCCTTCTGTGAATGACCTAGCTGAACACAAACCCTATGGGACTCCTGAGGTCATACACACCCAGCAATTCAGCTTGCTTATTATCAGAGTGCTTAAGAACATAAAAACTTGATAGTGAGAACTGAGCACATGTTGGCTTCCGGCAATTAGAACTACACTCACTGCTTCAATCTCCTGTATCACATCATGTCAGAGCTTCTAAACAGAATCTTCTTAGTCTATAAGATGCACTAGGCTCAGTGGGCCGCCCATCTGGGAGCTCAAGCTCTTCCTACAAGCCTGTTTCTGCTGTGACTCTGAGTGAGATTTCCTGTGGCTGCTGTCTGATACCTAGATATGGTGTGCTTATTCTCAGTAAATCAAGAGCCCTGGTGGGAATAAAACAACCAGAATTAGAAGCCAGATAGTCTTGATGCCTTGCAATGAAGTTACTGAAAGTGTATACAAATGTAAACACACACACACACACACACACACCCCACATAAATAAATAATAAAAATAAAAACCCTTCTCCTTATAAATTAATCAGTCTTAGATATTTCATTACAGCAATAAGAAACAAATCAAGATAATGATCTTCTCAGATCTGCCCCTGTAGCCCACCTTGTGTCCCCAGGTGATTCCCATGGCTCTACAACAGAGCAGGATGCTCAGCCACTGAGGGTGCACAGTATGGCTCCTTTCCCCTCCCCCTCCCCATGCATCCTCTTAGGATTACATCTCAATGGGCTCCCTCCTGCCATGGCGGGGAGGGGTGTCTTTCCCACATGGAAGGTCCTCAGGTCCCCAGTAGCTGGCCAGGCCTTGCTGTCCACACTTTCTCAGAACTTCTACTCAGAACCTCCACTTATATTTCTGATTACTGGGTTAAGGCCCATACATATTCTTTCCCATGAGTAGGTAGACGTTTACATTTGCCCAGAGGTCCATCTGCACCACAGTCACAAGGGAACTGGGTGAATGGACCATTTGCTATTTACTGTTGGATGATAGTGAGGGAGAACACTATGGGCTGAGCCTTGCATACCTCTGACAGCTGATCAGCTAACAGAGGGGGACCACTCACCTTGTCTGCTTTCTTGGCTGACGCTGCTCAGGCCACCATCTTCAGCTAAACCTTGCTCCAAGTTAGCCAGGATCTGCAGTTATTTCAAACAAGGACAACAAAACTAAGTGGATTGCTTTTACACTGTCATATGTGTCACACACATATCCTAGGCACAGCATGTTTCTCTGGATGAAAACCCATTTATTAAGGAACATTCACATGGACACATCCCCCAAGTCATGATGACCATGACTCACTTGGAGGAAATGCGAATAGTGAGCCCCACTCCCTTGCAGAAAGTGGATTTGGGGCTTATGAGGCTCATAAAACATTCTCAGACACTGAATATAGGGGCATTTAGTTTTTCTCTTCACACAAAACATCAAGTGTGTTACATGTGAGAGTGATTATTAACTTCTGTGGAAACATCAGTCCTGTTCCTCTGGGGCACCACAGGGTCTGTGGCCTTTTCTAGAGGACTGAATAAATTCTGAGCTGTCACTTTGCATAGTTTTTATTGTTTGGTTAATAACTTTTCATTGCTTCTTCTGTGCTTTGTGTTCCCTGAAAGAAAAGCTGCTGTGGCCACTGTGATTTGGGGAGAGAATTTATTATTGCTGTTCTTTTTGGAGGGGGCAGGATGAGAAGATGTGCTGAGAGCAGGGACTATTTGCTAGGGAGAAAATGGAGAAAATGCTAACTGGAAAGGTTCTCATATAGTCCATATGCTCTGTAGAGAATACTGCCTTCCTTCCCTCACCTGCCGGGTGACAGCTACTCGTGGCTACCCCCAGGAGGCGGGTGGGCAGTGGAGCAGAAGACCCCTGGGTGTCCACCTGCCTGACTTGTCCCTGCCACAGTGAGTACCCTTCCCTGCAAGCATTATTTTGTGCAAGCAAGAGAACAATTAGCTGTGGAATGTGACTTGGGACACACGTGGAGTTCAAGACTGTGACCTTGGAGACAGGCAAGTCAGTTCAAACCAGGTCAAAGGACATTTCTCAGGTAATTCATCTTCTGATAAGTAATCATGGAACCAGAAACTGACAGGGAAGAAAGTCTTAAATTCCCTCTGGCTGGAGTGGAGGAAGCCCAGGAAGAAAGAGATGGAACAAGCAGAGGGCACCAGCACTGGGGAAGGGAGCATGGGAGCAGCCCATCCCACTGGGTTTCCATGGGCAAGCTCAGTGAACTGGGACAGGGAAGGTGGGCTGGCATGTGCATCAAGAGAAAACCATGCACAGCAGGAAAGTGAACAGTTCCTTGGGGTTGAGGGGTGTGCAGAGCATGAGCCCAAGCTCTGTGCTCGAGGTCCACTTAGCACCTGTCTCCTTGCTCACCACTGTACAATACACTCAGATGGGGAAGACCTGCAACCATAGAGCCCTGGCTAGCTCAGCCTACACCCATGAGGAGGGCAGAAACTGCCTGATGTCCAGTCTCTGAAGAAGGCGCGGGTGCTTCAGAGGAGCAGAAGGGAAGCTTGGGAATGAAGGGCAGTTTCCTGCTGTCGGGCATTGAGGTGGCACAAACAGGTGCTCTGCTGTTAGTGGAGGCAGTAAAGGCAGAGATGGGGGCCCTCTGCTTTGTGCCCTCCTTAGCCTTGTGCCCTCTGTCTGGGGAGTCATCTTTCTTCCTATGAGTTATGGCTATGAAATGGCCCCTACAGGCTCATAGGTTAATGCTTATGGTGGTACTACTGTGGGAGGTTCTGGAAACTTTAGGAGGTGGGGCCTAGTTAGAGGAAGTAGATCACTAAGGCAGGTTCTTGGGAACATATTGACCCTGGCCATTTCATTTCTGCCATGACATGGCCAGCTTATGTCACACAAGCTGCCCATACAGAACTCTGTGGAAGCATGTAGGGCCAAGTAACCAACCTGAACCTCCTGAAACCTTATTGAAGTGGTTTATTCTGGGGACTGGTTCACAGTAATAAGAAAAGTGACCAAGACAGCATGTTTCTACACACAGGAAGGGACATGATAGGGAAGAGACCTGAACAGGTTTCAGCCTCTTTCAACTCTTCTGAGTTGGGTGAGGGTTCTATGAGACTTCCAGGGTCTGCAGTGACCTAGGCTACTAAGGCACTTGAGCACCAGTGGGATGCACGGACAGACACCTAAGGTTCTGATCCCAGACATGAGAGGGGCATGTTTAGTGCAAGTTTCTGACCTTCAGTGGCCACCTGTATTTCCAGGGTGCTCTTGACTGGGCTTAACTGGCAGGTCTGTCTGGTTAGGCGCTTTTGAGTGATGAGCAGAAACTCCTTCAGCAGCGTCTCACTGCTGCCCCAGACAGCTGTCTGCCTTATAAAGCACCAGTATACTGATTTACCAGTTATGTCCACATATGACAATGAGAGACACTGTCAACTCAAAGCTCACTTAGGAAATGTGGACATTATAAGACAAGTCTGAACTTGTAATGTGGTGTGGCTGCAACCCCCTCTTCCACCTCTCTTTCTAGATGCCCTGGATGCAAGGACCAGAGACAACTTAGTGTATGCCTCTAGTATGAGACAGAGGCAGTTGCTTATAGTTAGTGGATAACTGGTTTATTTTGTAATTGAAAAAAAAGGTGGGGGATTTTTTACTTTCTCTTAAGACAGGGTCTGCACGGAAGCTGGTGGGAGAAATCTCTCCAGAAAGCCCAGCTGGGCTCCTCCAGGTGAAGGAAAGATCTCTTGGAGAACCATGAGTGCCAGGGCTCACCAACCACTAGGAAGAAGGAATGGAGGGCAGGGTTGCTATGAAGCATGTTAAGGGACTACTTGTCTTTAAGTAGAGCAGACCCTAGCTGACTAGCCAAGGTGCAATGCTTTAAATCCAGGAATGCACTCTTCAATCCACTCTTTATATATATATATATTTATTATTTTATATGTGTATGAGTGTATTGCCTGCATGTATGTGAGTGCACCCGTGTTGTGCAAAGCCCCTGAGGTCAGAAGAGAACTTCAGATTCCCCCTGGAACTGGAGTAAGGACGGTTCTTAGCCACCATGTGGGTGCTGGGAATCAAACCCGGGTCCTCTGCAAGAGCAGTCAGTGCTCTTAACCACTGAGTCATCTCTCCAGCTCTCAATCCACTCTTTAAAAGGTGGGACTTCCTTCCTTTCCCAGTACATGTGGGCTGGACTTTGTGACTCTAACAAACAGAAAACAGGTGGAGGTGACACTGGAACCTCCAGTATAGTTCATGAAAGGCTCTTGGCTTCTCCTCTCCTTCCCTTTTTCCCTCTTTTGGCAGAGTCAGCTGTCACACTGCTGTCCTATATAAAGGCCATGAGGCAAGGAATATGGAACTCTTATGAACAAGCAGCAATACTTGGCATTTGGTATGAGGGAACTACCTGGCAGTCCAGGCTCCAGCCCCAGAGATGTGGCTTTGGCAATCATCTGGTCTGCAGTCTCAGAAAGGCTCTGAACTAGAACTATGTAGGTGCTCCAGACAAAAAAACCCCATGGACATGGTGCAATCATCAAGCACTGCACTTGGAGACCTTACATGCCTGGGGTGAATGAGTGACACATTTCAAGTTCTGAAAGAAAATAGCCAACAATGGGTCCTACTGGCGAACTTAAGACAAAAACCTAAAACTACTCCTAAACAACAAAGAACTTCCTGGCTGCTAACTTAAAGCAATGCCTGGTGGATTCTGAGATAAAGATCCCAAGTAATATTAGTGGAACCACAGCACAGATGGCCACAACACAGGCAGGCCATGGTATGGATGGGCCACAGCACAGATGGGCCATAACATGGACCGCCTAGGTGCTCCGCTCCTTGCCTTTGCTTCTGCTGCTGCATAACACCAAGACCTTTGAAGAGAGACTCTGGGTCATGGGCCCTCTGTTCTTCCTGGTGTGGTCACCATGTTAATAAAGCTCCTTTTCTGACTTCACCACCACTGGTCTCTTTGATATGCTTTCATGATGGGTTGGCTGAGACCACTCTCCTGGGATTCTCTGCTCTTACTCCATTATCATGACCAGTCTGGAAAACAGACCCACCACACTGAACAGTGTGGGCACAAACCATATTTAAACTGAGAACATCAAAGTACAGAAAATCCCCAGACTTGCTAAGGCAGTTATTCTAAAGGACTTGTTTCTGCTTCTCTTCTCAAAGTTTCCCCTAATGTTTTATTTACTTTTGCTTCCCCTCTCCACCATAGCCCTGATCTTTTAAGGCAGTCTGTAAGGCTCCCTTTGTTCCTGCTCCTCGGTTCATATGAACTGACTTACAGAAAAGCAATATCTTCATCTGAAAAGAAAATTCTGGCTTCATATCAAGGCCCAGAATTCATAAGACAAGGGAAAGGCCTAGGGGGAGAAGGCCATACCCAACTCCCCGTAACAGCCCTTTCCACTCTGAGCTGAGCTGAGCTGAGCTGAGAGGGAGAGCTGGAGAGTCTCCTGTTTCCTTCAGGGCTGACCTGGAATAAGTTTGTTTCCTTCCAGCAGTTTCTGTCTCCTGGGTTTTTGGTAGAGTGGTAACAGTGTGGAATTCAAATTATGGTGACAGCATGATCCAGCAATCCTACAGCCAAAGGAAATGAAATCAGCCACCATCAGAAATCTATACACCCATGCCTAGTGCAGCGTTGGTCACAGTAACTCAGCTATGGATCTGCCTGGGTGTCCATCAGCAGAGAGTGGATAAAGGAAATACAGCATCTACGCACAACAGTATTATCAGGCAGAACAGGGAATGAAATTCTGTCATCTGCAACATCTGATGGAACTGGGGGACACTATGTGGCATAAAGACTAGCACAGCTGTTCTCTCAGCTCCATGGAAGTTACATAGATCTTGATGTAGAACAGTGAGTGTTGGCGCTCTGCAAGGGGTCGATAAAGGGAGGCTGCATTTGACCAGTGCTTGTTATATGCATGCTTTGAAATACCATGTCAAACCCCATTAACAAGTACAATTTACATGCTATTCAAACCCCATCAACAGGTACAATTAACATGTTAACCAAAACTTTAAAAAGGAAGTCACTGTTGCTTTAAGCCATTGAGTGATTTGTTCAGTGGCAATTGATAAAATACACTCAGTTGAGTCAAGGCCACCTTGCACCATTTTTTTTTTTTTTTTTTTTTTTTTTTTTTTTTAAAAAAAAAAAAAAAAAAAAAGAGGACGATAAATCTTTCACTGTGATATATCAAAATAA